CGTCGTATCCATCAGCATGTAGAATCCAAGCGTCGAATCATCATCGATTGTCAACGTTGATAATCCCGGGGGTCGAGAGGTCGCATCCATGAAGATGGCACGGAAATGAGGAAATACAGAAGAATTTGATTGATTGATACAGTGATTTTCTTTTTGTTGTATCTGACTAATTTTTTTGTATTAATTCAAGTCGATTTTCGATTCATCTTCACCTCGTCTCTCTTTCTCTCTCTCTCTCTCTCTCTCTCTCTCTCTTTTTTTTTCTTTTTCGTGATTAATTTTTATAACCTCTAGTCTCGAATGATTACGTTTCTTTTCGTTTTCGAGATTTATAAGAGTGTCCTTCATACATTCGTTTTTTTTTTTTCTATTTTAGTTCACTTTCACACATATTATCAAATATTTTCATACACGACTCGACTCTCGGTAACGTGATTATTTCAAATATCAGCTAGAAAGAGACTGATTAACTTTTTTTTTTTTTTGGTTACTTTTCTCATTTTCCCTTTCTTTTTTATTAACAGCTTATACAAATATCAATCAAATGACCTTATATCTCGATTTCTATGTATATGTTATTTACTCAAAAAGAGGCCTCGACGAGGTAAGTGCCATCCATGGCGACCCCCGTCTGCCCACCCTGGGCCCCGGATACTTGGGCCCTTGTAGCTGGGATGTATTGACTGTAGGCCTGCTGAAATCCACACCACAAGCACACACTACATTGTTGCACGCCAGACTGACCTATCCTAAGATTTTCTTTTTTTCTTTAATTCTGATCTTCCTCTCTTTCTCTCTCTCTCTCTCTCTCTCTCTCTCTCTCTCTCTCTCTCTCTCTCTCTTTCTCTTTCTCTTTCTTTCTCTCACTCATGCACACATACACACAGTTTCACGATCGTACAATTTTTCTTTCTATTCTTCTCTTACATTCTTATTTTCTTTCTAGGTCTCTTGACTATTTCTAGCTAGATACGTGAAGTACTTCTGGAGAATATTCTCGGGAGTGAGACAGAAAACCCAACACGTTCGTCAACAATTTCTCGCAAAAATATTCTTCACAAATTCACGTTTCCAGAGAGGAAGTCACTATTAAAGGTTATGGCGTCGTAATATATTTTAACCTATTTAACTCGTTTTATCCTACATGGAGACATACGGGGTCGAGCCTCGTGCGCAAGACTCGATTTATTGTAATTTATTTAAGGAAAATTTCAAGACAATGCTTTCCGTTCTAATTGTAAGTAAATTCTCGATAGGAGGAATTTATTATCTAAGGGAGGTAAAAAGGACTCATTCTAATGGCCGAATTATTTCAGAAGCGAACATTTTGCAATAAAATAATGTCCGTAAATATACAAGTAAGTATATGTATAAGTATCAATAAAATGACGATGACTTTCATTTCATTGTCCTATTCTAAGTCTACATATGTCACATGATCTATTTTTAATTAATAAATATAGTGGCACATAGTTTTGTCGATCAAATTTTAAGTAATAATTAATTCTACAATTAGACGAATAACATGATGTCATAAATATGTTTAGTCTAATTTAATAATAATCAATTCTACGATTAAAGACATAATATTCTGATCTCTATATACCGAGTTTTTAGTTATGTGAATTATGACACAGAAAATGATTTTTACTCACGTAATCTCGAAACAGTATTTTGTCGTCTTTCGACAATACGTTTTCACCTCTGACCTACAAACATGAAGGATTTTTCGGAATAGGCCAGCTGCCTGCCTGCCTGCCTGCTTTGTTTTGCGAAAGGAGAGACGCGAGAACTTGAAGTTCGAAGTACAAGGAATCTCGTGACGTTTTTGCGACACCTGTCAGTGCCTTATGTACTTGTTACACGATATGCTCTTCTAAAACATTACGACGATAACTTGCGTTGAACCTTCTAACATCGCGACGGAAGATCAATACTCTTTAAAACAATCCTAAACGATATACATATAAACGGAGGAAGTTACGCGTTTTATTTCGAAAAGACGTTTTTAGTTCGTTTTTAAATATTTTAACTATTAGTTTTGAATTTTAACGTGTTCCATACCAAATTGATTTTCTCTGACTTTCAATTTGAGCCGCATGGGTCGTATATGACCCTCGTATTAATAGCAACCATTTTGAATCGTCTGAACGGAGAACATGTTAACTTTTAATAGTTAATTTTAACTGAGGATAACGAGTTAATACTTCATTTGTTTTTCTCTTATCTATTGCAGAATTTTATATTTGAGATTTCTATTTTTTGATTATCGTGTAAAGCGCAAATTATTGGTATTGCATACAAAAGTGACGCTTTTTATAAATGACCTCCTTAGTTAAAAGTTTACAAAACGAAAGTAGTAGCTTAACGTATTGCGTGGTCGTTTCGTTTTATTTTCAAATTCATGGTTCAAAAACAATTATAATTCATAAAAATTCCAAACAAAACATTTAGGCATGAGAATCTATTTCAAGTAGAAGTAAAAAAAACTTGTAATAAAATATAGAAAAAAATTCGTGATATTTCGACAGGGAGGACGATCGAATAATCTCAAAGTGATTTATAAAAAGAAACAAAAGAATCGATTTGAGGAGGAAAATATTCCTGTGTTTTCTTTGCGCAAATTCTTTATTCTATTAACTAAATGTGAATAACGGCCGAGTGGTGTTAAATGGTAAAACGTTCGTGACGATGATTTCACGATTAGCAATTAAAACGTACCGTTTGCATTTCACTTTCGTTAAAAGAACCCCTGACGTTAAGTGTTATCGAAAAAAAAGAAGAAAATAATAAATATAAATAAATAAAGGAAAAGAGATATGGAAACAGGTGAACATGTTGAAAAGAAAATAATACAATAAAATACTGATTGTAAGTTTAACACAACGTTAATACGTTACTGGATAGAACCAATGTGACTTTTTTGCGCACCAAATGAAATTATGGGAATTTCCATGTGTTCTACTATTTCGTTCTTTCTGTTTTTACCCATTTTTCTTTTTGCCCCAATTTTTGTCCCGCGTTAATATACGTAAACGAACTACATATGCATTACGTATGTGTGCACGATATTTTCAACTTGATCAAACATTCGGAACGTTCGTAAACAGGTATAAATAAAATTGACGAATAAAAAATTGTTCGATTAACAAGGATAATCGAAAAATCCTGGAAAATTCGTGTCCAACGATAATCCCCGAAGTTCCACTTGGAAATATTACCTTCTAATCCTTAAACGATAAGAAAGTTTTAATTATAAGGATAAAATAAAAACAAATCTAATTACGTTAACTTCTAAATAATTAATTATTACGGTTGATCGATCGTAGAGACACGTTTCAAGGATAATACGTAGATATATTAATTAATTAGTAGAGCGAAACAAAGCTGCTCACCGTTGGAACACGAATTTCATAACACATATTATTATATAGATATCTATATATATATATATATATATATTTATATAGATATTATATAGATATACATATATACAGATATGAAACAATAACAAAGAGTTAACAGTAAAAACAACAAGTCAAACATTCCCAACTATAAATCGGCTATAATAAAAAGGTTTCATAATTTCATTATTTTTGGTGAGAAATAAAAAACAATCATTTGTACTTTGTTAGAGAGATCTTACCTTTAACAGGAGAATATATTTTCTACGGGGTGCATAAGATATATTTTTTATAGAGAGATACGTTTATATATATATATATATATATGCATAATATAATATGTACATATATCAGAATATATTATAATTGAAATGTATATGTACACATGTGTGCTTTCAACATCCGGTTCGCTATGTAATAAAAAATGAAGGAATAAAAAAATACAAAAAAGTCGGGAATATCATTTTCTAGAAAGTCGTTTCTTGTCTCGCAACGATCACAGCCTTTTCCAAATCTTCAATCTATCGAGATTCGTATAGAATGATGGCCACTTTGCTGATGACACCTATGAATTTATGAACGATTGAATATTTCCAAGTATACTTAATTACATATTGATTAATCTTTCAAAGCAATATGTTCAGAACATGTATATATATGTAGATGTACTAGAAGATTAAATGACTAATTCATAATTAATCTCCATCTCGTGTGACAGCTTGTCTCCAATAAAATTATCGAAGAATAAACAAACAACTGGTGAATTAAATCAATCTTCGCTTATACCGAACGATGATAACTTATTCGAATTTCCCTTCTAGCAACTCTTTCAAAAAAAGAACGAATTAACTCGATTGTGATAATACATCGAGATGACATCGTCGTTGAAAGGTATAGGTGTATACTATATACATATGTATCTCGTTGGAAGTATATACGCGTTATGTCCAAAAGTGGACCACTGCCAATCTTCTACGATCGACCTGTTGAGCGTTAATTAATCGATCTCCCAAATGTTCGTCGCTACGATAAAGTCGTTACTGTTTATAAACGATGCTTATAAAATATAATATTATTCGTTTATCGTAGCAATAGCATGTATGTGTATGTACCAAAAGAGAAACAAGAAAAAAAGATAGATAAATAGATAGATAGATAAAGCTCGATTATGGCTCGATTTATCAATTACCCCCAGGGCTGTGATCGACGCAGGTAGACAAGGTACAACGACTGCTCGGTAATTTATCTTTCCTTCATGGTGCCAAGGACGCGAGACACTCTTGGAGATCGATGAAAAACGAATGATACGGTGTAATAGTAAGGTTAAAAGTAGAACCAAGAGTAGGTGATAATATTGGATTCCCGGATTTCTCATATATTTATAGTGGAGAATATACGACGAATTCGCTGCGACAGCGACACCAATCTTCGATTCTTCTTTTTTTTTTTTTTTTTTTTTTTTTTTTTTTTTATGAAGGACAAAAGGGTTTGGTAAAACGACGAGGGTTGTTCAAACGTGGTGCTCGTTACTGGGTTAACGACGAGAGGATTGACTGAGCTTTTTAGACGAACACTTAAGATTCAATTTTGTCTTGCCTGGTTGATCTGAAGTGGACGCTCCACTACAGGCTCCTGCTGTTCCTTCGGCTATGCATTATTCATAAAAGCAACTCGTGTTATACATTATAACGTAGATTATGCTCCAGTTAATTCGACGCGATGTCATCGTTTGAATTCTCTCCAATGACTTTTTCTTTTTTTTTTTTTTTCCTTTTTTCCCCCTTTTCTTTCATTTCTTATATTTGATTATATTGTACTTTCTTTCTTTCTTTCTTTCTTCAATTGAAGCGACATTATACAACAACGAATGGGATATGTCTTATTCGTGAAGATCGATATGTTTGCAATGATAATTCGTGTTTGGATATGATTGCGATGCTAACGTAAGTCAGAGATCGACAAAAAGATAAAAAGATCATTTTAAAAATGAAAATTCACATATCGATATTCCAGACAAGTCGACCGTTAACGATATCGATTGGTTTACTCTGACGATGTCACATAAAATTCTAGCTATGTATCTTTGTTTTTATTTCTATATACATCTACGTATGGTTATTCAATCGTAGTTTGTGATTTTTGAAAGTATAACAAAAACTACAAGTATTTGTGAATAAAATTCGAGGAAGTAGTTTCCACGGACAAGTTTCGTAAAGACACCGAAAGGCATTGAAAAGTTGCGTTAACACAAAGTTTAGTTTTAATCGATTTTTATAAGGACGATGACGACAATTGCAACGCTAGTAGCTGTGCTTTCTACATTATCGATCGATTCGTTAAAAACTCTTGGATGTAACAAAATATGAGAACGCTGTAACAGATAACTAAATATTCGTATAAGATTATTTTTTACAATTTAATAAATGTGCTTTACGAAGAGGCGATACAATTTCTGCATCGTTTAAACGAAATTTTCATAAAACGATACAAGTGGTAAGAATTACAAACGCTGTAATAATATACATATCAAAAGTAATCGTTAATTAGGACGTAATTATATGTAGAAAAAAATTCTTTCAAAATCTCATCTATACAAAAATTTGTCTTAAATTTTTAACTAGTTAGATATAAATATCCTAATTAAAGCAAATATTATGCTTGATAGAAATACAGAATATCCAACGATCCTATTTAAAGTGTGATTAGTTATAAGCAGCTAAATATGATAGAATTTAACATAGAAGATTCCATTCGATTATAATGATTAGATATCGATATACTAAGTGTATCGAACCACCTGTTTTCTTCAACTTAATACTAACCACCTGTTAGTGTTTCAAAAAATTAGCAGTGGCGCATTGTGAATTACTCGGAGAGGAGTAACATTTACGGAGCCTTCTGAATTATCCAAATAAATATTTTATAACTTTCATTTGAAATGATTCATTTTGAAAAACGCGTTAAAACATAATATCAGGATTTCTTTTTCGAGAAATATTTAACCGAGATTAATTTGGTTCGATTTTACAATAGTATATGTTTATTCACGATTTCAATAAAGAATACTTTATGAAATATCTTTTAACGTCCAAAACCATTTCGTTCGATTGACCTCACCCGTTGGAACCATTTATTTGACCTTAAATGCTTTCATTGTTGAAAGTTTCCGAGAGAATAATTAACGCCCGGTCGAACAGTGAGATTTATTGAGGTCTTGCCTTGGCAGTTCTGACACACAGAGCTCTTCGCGATAATTTAATTGCCACCACTGTGTTCCAGTTCTTTGAAAGCATACCGCCTTTGCTAACTAGAGAGGATGCAGAGTGCTGTGTCAACATTAGAAAGAGAAAGAGAAAGAGAAAGAGAAAGAAAAAGAAAAAGAGAAAGAAAATTAGTCGTTCGCAAGAAGACTTTCTCTCTCTACAAGTCGATGCACCTGCGACCCGATTTTAATCATTGACAACGATATTTTTTTCATCCTTGTGATTGCTCGTACGAAGTTAAGTATAGTCGAGCAAACATAACAGAAACTAATACGAATTACACATCGAGTATTCTTTTTGACGAATTTGCATCCATGTAGAAGGAATAGGAGGTTTCGTAGTCAATGGATTAGAGGGAATCAAAAGCAAAGCGAAACTTAATGAATACGCGAATTACCGAATACGATTCACTCATTTTCTCAATATACCCACACGTCTCTTTTACCCTTTCTATTTATATCAATCTTTTCTCTCTGTTTCTTTCTTTCTATACCGTAAACCTCCTTTCTTCGTGTATCTCTTTACAGAGGATCAACGAGAGTTTTTGAAACAAAAAAAGAAAGGAAAAAAAGGAATCCGATCAAAGTGCCGTGCCGTGATAGAACGCGTTTATGCGGCCCGCCGGACCGAAGGTAAAGTAAGAGTTTATTTGAATGCTTTGAAAAGTACATTTCTTAGACGTTCAAGTCAGTTATATATCGGACTTTTATCAGCTTTTATCTTTAATAGAACTTTCATCGCAACCTCTACGACCTAATAATGGAATTGAATAAGCCGAATATGTCACGTGTTCCAATTTGAAACTCCCTTTTTATTGGAATATAACCATCAAACGCGTTTCACGGAAAGTATGACCTTTTATTTTTAAATTGAGTTTATTATAAATACAAGATGCTCCGTTTAACGTTACAATTTCGTTAAGATTTTTTCTGTTTTTATAAACAACTAAAATTGCGATTAAAAATAAGGCAAAAAATATTCTGATTATTTATACTTTGTTGAGACCTTTTCACGTAATCGTGAAATTTTCATGAATTTTTTACTCATTTTAATAATGAATTACATTTTTTGTTTATACTTTTAGAATGAAATGATGTCATTATATTTATTAATAAAATTACAAATGTTTTAAGGTTACTTATTATACTTTTTTAAATTGTCATGTGATAAAAATATTGAAAAACTTGTTTTTTCTTTCCTGTAATGATATCAAGTTGATTCGTTGATGATAAACTTATCATATACATGCGTTGCAAAGTGTATCAACAAAAAAAAACTTATAAATAGATACGTATATAGTAACATATTTCAACGTTAATGGGGCCTTTATAGAGAATTTTATTCACTAAGTAAGCGGATATGTATCAAAAAAAAAAAAAAAAAGAAAAGAAAAAAAGGAAATTTAACTTTATCCAAGAATACTGTGACATGTAAGCTCCTTGGGGAATAAATAGGAACAAAAGGAGAAAAAATGATGTTGCCTACTACTGGCTCTGTCATGTATTTTTGTTTCCTATATCTTTCTCTCTATTTTTTCTTTCCTTTACTTTTTTTTTACACCGTCTTTTCCTTTTTTTCTTATTCACGGCACATTACTAACTTTCGTTCGAAGCGGAATCAGAAAAAGAGGTATACTGTAGGTACACAGAACTCAGAGAAAACAGAAGCTATAGAAAAGGGACAAAGAAGAAGAAGAAGAAGAAGAAGAAGAAGAAGAAGAAGAAGAAGAAAAAAAAGAAGAAAAAGAAGAAGAAAACCGATTTCTCGACATCGTTCCCAAGAGTCAGACTGGAAAACCGTGAAAACGTATAAGGTGTCATATATTTCAACGTATTTTCACGCGAGTTGCCGTGAGAAAAGAAGACAAACGATGAACGCCCTTCGTCTCGTCCCTTTTGTCGTCTCTCCTTTTTTCATCCAACGTCGTTTCAACGAACGTGAACCGGATATACTATTTCCTTTTTCTTTTTCCGGTGGACAGGACGTACAAGTACCTTACTTGAAAACGCATTCATCCTCATATTTTTTACTTTTTCCTCAGAGTTTCGATTTAAACAAAATTCAACTTGAGAACATGCTCAAGGAGATACATCTCGATAAAAGTTTCAACTTTTTAAGATTTTACTGAATTTTTCGTTTATATAATGATAAAAAAATTGATTAACACGAAATAAATTTTTCTATAAAATTTAGAGAAGAGAGAGAAATAATAATCACTAAAGTAAATCATAGAAATGAACTAAAACCACATCTAATTAAAATAGGTAATATCAAATCCAGTAGTACGTTGCTCTTCTAATTAGTTTTCGTACGACAAGGAAGAAATTTCGATTAACAACTTTATTGAAGTGCAGGAAACTTTAGAATCAATAATATAATCAATAGGAAACTTTAGTCACTATTAAGCTCCTCCGATTTAGAATGAAATTCTTATCTGAAAGAAAGTGAATTAAATTCATTGGAAAAAGTCATAGAAAAGTTAAAAGAAACGAATTATTGTTTAAACGACGATGAACGTTTCTTTCTTTGTTTTTCACCTTGTTCCTTTCATTAAAAGAAAGGAGAAGAAAAAAAGAAAAATAATTTTTTTATTACCATTTTTTTTAAATCTCATAGGTCAAACCTTATGCTGTGCGCTTTCTCTTTCTATTTCTCTTATTCACCGTGCTCTAATCGGGGACAGCTCTTTCTCTTATGACACTAATTTCGTGTAAATCTCCGAGTGACCTATTTTCAAACAAGTGGCTGATATGGTGAGATGAGAGCAAAATTATCACGAATTTCGTCATAAAAAAAGGATCTTTTCCAAGCAGATTCGCCCATTGTTACATCCTTCTGTTTGTCTTATGTTAAATAATATCAAATCTCGTTACGTTGTTTCTTTTTTCTTTTAACAATTAACTAACTATAAAGCTCCCCAAGTAAATCTCTGTGTATTTTAAAATACAAACTTCTCATACAGTTTCGCATATCTAAAAAAAAAAAAAATGAGAATGGAGCAAAGACAAACTATTTTAGGCATCTTATAACTATTTAAGTTAAAATAGCATAAATCAAATAAACACTAACTATTGTAGACATTGTCGAATTTAGTCTTGGATGGATCTAAAGCTTTAAAAATAAATTAATTATACAGAAAAATATAAATTATTCATGTAAATGATTCAATGAAAGATGCATCGGTTCTAAAACGATTATAGTCGCAAATATACAAACAAAATAATTATATAGATACCAGTTACCAGATGTTTAATTAAATTGATTATATATATAATTATTAAATTATTAAATTATATTATCTCTCTCTCTCTTTCTCATAAAACGTGAACGCATCTAACAGCTATGCGTAAACCTGACCACTGATATTAAAATATATTTAAAGAG